GAGGGCACAAGCAGTGAAGGGCATTGGGACCTTGGATCCAACAGCCCACGAGGAACTGAATCCTGCCAGCAACCACTAGAGTGAGCTCGGTATCGGGTCCCCAGCTGATGACTCCAGCTCAGCTGACAGTTTGACTGCAGCCTGCAGAGGTGCTGAAGCAGAGGGCTCAGCTAAGCTGCACCTGGATCTGTGACCCACAGAGACTGAGATGATAAAAGTTGTTTGAAGACACTGAGCTTTGGGGTACTTTAGGATGCGTCAAGAGGCAACTGGTACAAAGTATCATTTCGAGAAGACCAGCTGTACCTGTACCCTCCTTAAGCATACATTTGTACGAGTTGAAACCATGGTGGGTGCACTGATTTTGAAATCTTTTGAAAAAATCACTTTATCATTATGGGGGAGATAGCATTCATCAGGGTCCATGGTCTATGCATGTATCAGGGTCTGGTCAGAAAACAGAAACCACACCAGCTATCTTAACAAAATTGAATATGACGAATTAGATGGCTTAATAACGAGTATGGTGTGAAAGGTGAAAATCATCGATAACCAATCATCAAAATCACTCTCAGAAAATGTCATACATCATCAGGACTTGGGGCCTTGGAAACTCAAAAGCCAAGAATTACTGAGCTTATTGTTTTTGTTGCATTGAAGCTTCTCTTCTGTTCCTTTGGGGTGTCAGAGGCTGAGTTTATTTTGAACACGAACAGGGAGACTTCTCTCTCCTTGACAAGCGTGATTTGTTGAACTAGCTAGTTAGGTGGGAGTGTAGTGGTGATACGCTGTGTAGTGGAAGCATCCTCCATGTTCCCATTCCCTGTCACAGTCACACAGCTGTGGATTTCCAGGCCTGATTGTCCATTGTGTTGATGTCCCAGTTTATTAAACCACTTCCTTATTGTGGTTCCCAGTTTTTGACCTTTAAAGAAAGATTTCAGTGCACGCATGTATTCAGATAACACTTGGCTTCGTTTGGATAATTTCCTTGGAATAATTTCCCAGGAAAAGAGATTATTGGGTCAAAGGGGGAGGAAGAGCTTCATGCCTTTTGCTAGTAATTGCTTTACTGCTTTCCAAAGGCACTAAACCAAACCAGCATCGACAGTTTATAGCGGATGAGGGGTCAGTTTCAGGGCACCAAGTTATTCACTCTTAGGAAATCGGCTTCCAGGTCCTTCATCAACCACCCAAAAGGGCCTGGAGATGTGAGAAGTGGAGTCCAGCACAGAGAATCCTGGGCTGAGAAGTAGGATGTCTGAAAGTCCAGCCTCGAGGCAGCAGAGTGAGCAGTTAACAGTAGGACCTATGGACAACAGGTCCTGAGTTCGAATTCTGCCTTCACCACTGAGTGACCCTGGGCAAGTTACTTAATTTTTCTGAGTCATTAGTTTTTTCATCTATAAAGCAGGAATTACAGCAACACTGAGACTTGCAGAGGTGAGAAGAAGATTAAACAAGTCATGACATGTGAAGTGCTTAGACCAGGGACTAGCACTTGGTAAATGTGAAGAGTGAGTGTTATTACCATTTCTGTTATTTAGACGGAGACTCCATCTCCATCAGCCCTGCTTCTCCAGTGGCTGACCACCTCCTCTTCTGGGTGGTCTGAGACCCCACCCTGGTTCTTCAGTTTTCCTGGGATCTTCTCCTCTCTCTGAGACCAAGTTTAAGTAGCAGTCTTGGCTTTGAGATACTGAGTTTGATGGTCCTTGAATGCCCCCTTGTGGACAGCTGGCTCTCTTTCACGCTCAGCTAAAGAGGAAAACCGACCGTGTGTGTGTGCGTGTGTGTGCGCGCGCGTGTGTGTGCGTGTGTGTGTGTGTGTGTGCGTGCGCGTGTGTCTCGGGGTGGGGAAGAAAGTGGAGGAGGCCTCCGTGTTTGCAGACAAAACAGGAAATAGCACGTCATGGCATCTTTCTTGCCGGCTAGGAAGGCATGGGTGTATGGGCCTCTCTATACTTACATAAACATGGAGGGGGGCTGCATGTGCTGGTGTGCATGTGTGTATGTGGGCATACACTTCATACCACTCTCCTTGTTACTGGGGCCTCTCACTGGGTTCTACTGAGACAATGTGATTAATGTGATTTGAAAAATGAAAGCTCTGTGCGCACACGAGGCCATTGTTATGTAGAAGAGTGTGTATAACCATTTGGTTGATCCTTTCACTGATTTGGATATTCAGTCCTACAGTTGTTTATTGAGTATTTACTATGTACCGGGTCTCCTGAGGTCTGGGGAGGCTACAGTGACGAAGACAGAATCTGTTTCCATCCTCTCACAATCCAGTGGGTGAGACAGACAGGTGAGTAAACCTGTGGAGTGCTAGTCCTCAAGGACTAGCACTTGGTAAATATTCAGTAAATATGAAGAGTGAGTGTTAGTACTATATTCCCAGAGGAGTGGCAGAGCTGCTGTGGAGGAGGAAGGAAGGCTGCCTGGAGGAGGTGACATCTGAGCTGAGCTGTGAACTGTGAGTGATCTATCCTCTCCCTGGCTTTGGGGCAGAGGGCTTGGTACAAAAAGCATTTGTGGGGTTATAGAAGTGCAGGCTGTAATCCCAACTTCCTGAGCAAGTCCCTTTTTTTGGGGACTGGAGTTTCCTCCTGGACTAAGCCAGGGGATTTGGCCATGAAACCCACAGTTTCCATCAACTTTGATGTTTTCTGACCTTTTATTCCTTCAGCCTGAGGAATTCTCTTTTCTTCCACTCGTCTTTCATGCCCCATCCTCTTCCCTAAAGAGATGAAAACCAGACTGAGTGATAGAAAGCAGTGAGACGTTGGTATACACGTATAGGACACACACACACACACTCCACACACACACACACACACGCAGTACTCCATTCCCCTTTCCCCTGCTCTGCTGGAAACTTCCAGCTGCCTCCCAGGTCAGAGGGGTCTGACAAGGGCGGGGTAGAGTGCAGAGGCAGAGTAGAGGTGAGAGCTCAGCAGACCCAGTTTCTTTTATGCTTGGCCACTCAGGCAGGTCACCTTGGGGAGGTTACTGAGCTTTTCCCAGAGCCTGCTTCCAGCTTAGCAAAGTACATACCCACCTGGCAGGGCTTCCGTGATTATTAGAACTGTTATATGTGAAATGCCTCCCCTCCCCCGCCGACTCTGTGTAGGACCTAGAAGGCTCTCGGAAAATGGGAGCTGAAAAGTAATGATGTTACAAAATATCTAGTGCAGTGGCTCACACCTGTAATCCCAGTACTTTGGGAGGGTGAGGTGAGCGGATCACTTCAGGTCAGGAGTTCAAGACCAGCCTGGTCAACATGGTGAAACCCCATCTCTACTAAAAATACAAAAAACTTAGCCAGCGTGGTGGTGGGGGCCTGTAATCCCAGCTACTTGGGAAGCTGAGGCAGGAGAATCGCTTGAATCCAGGAGGCTGAGGTTGCAGTGAGTCGAGATCGTGACACGGCACTCCAGCCTGGGTGACGGAATGAGATTTTGTCTCGGAAAAAAAAAATCTAGTATGGGTCAGACTCTTGTCTCTGCAGGAGGGCAAGATGTGATCTTTCTTCCACTCTGATCTTCTCAGTGACAGTGGTCTGGGGAGGATAGCAGACATGTACCAAGCTCACTGTAGGTGGTGAGGCACTCTGGTTCCAGTTTAGAATGCAATTTATTACTTGGGCCACTTTGGCCAAGTTACTTAACCTTTCTAAGACTCAGTTTCCTCATCTATAAAACAGGCACTTTAAAATAGCTCCCTTATGGAAGTACTGTGAGGATTAACTGAGATAATGAATGTAAAAACACTTCATGTAATTCCTGGTATACAGTAAGTGCTCCACGAATTGATAGCTACCTGCATTGGTCAGTATATGCTAACTGGTGTAACAAATAGACCCAAGAATGTGTGATGGCTTAGAGACAATGGAAGCTTGTTTCTTGCCCCGCAATGGTCTAAGAAAATACCAGGTTAGCAGTGAGGCTCATCCAGAGACCAGGTTTCTGACAGCTCTGCCATTTTTTTTTTTTCTGAGACTGAATCTTGCTCGGTCTCCCAGGCTGGAGTGCCGTGGTCCTATCTCGGCTCACTGCAACCTCCATTTCCTGGGTTCAAGTGGTTCTCCTGCCTCAGCCTCCCAAGTAGCTGGGACTACAGGTGTGTGCCACCATGCCTGGCTAATTAGCTCTGCCGTCTTTAACAGGTATCTCCCAGTATCACTTTGGCCATCGGCCTCTAGCTAGTGGGTGGGGAAGAGAGAGTGGAGAAGGCACATCAGTTTCTTAACTGCCTTGGCCCAGAAGTGCCACTTCAGCTCACATTCCACGGGTGAGAACTAGTCACATGGCCCCATGTTAATGCCACAGGGGCTGGGAAATACAGTCCCTGGCTGGGCAGTGTCAGATCTCAGTGTCAACTCCATATACTTTTCAGTGTCAACCCTACGCGCTAGGCAAGGGGAAGCAGGAGTCTTTGGTGACAGATGTCTATTCCCATGATTGTTGTTGCTATTTCCATCCAAGACAGAGTGATAAGCACTGGATGTGGGGGGGGGGGGGCGGTGAAAGCATAGTAGGAGTCTAAAAAGTGGGGCAATGGGGGCCCGAGCTGATTGGGGATCTAGCAGTGCTGCCCAGGGAAGACAGCGTCCAGGGGGCTTGGAGAGAGGCAGGAGTTCATAGGGTGGGATGGAGAGAGCAGGGAGTGAAGGTCACTGGGAGCTGAGGGAGTCACATGAACGGTCAAGAGGCAGGAAAATCCAGGCTGGGGGAGAGTCCAAAGCAGGAAGGGGTGGAGAGGTGTGCTGGCAGCCCACCCGGAAGGCCTGGAACGTCAAGATAAGGGTGTGGAGACGCGGAGTCATGCGTGGTCTCTCTGCAGCACAGTCCAGGGCAGTGGGTGGTCGTGGAATAGGAGTGCCAGGTGGGGAGGAGGATGTGAGGAGGGGGAAAGAGAAAGCGGGTAGGGGAGGAAAGTTTGGGGTTCACAGAGGAGAGGCTGGAGTGTTCAGGAGGAAAGGAGGCTTGCCTGACCCCATGCTCATCCTTCTCCCTGAGGCTCTGCAGCTCCTCTGGGGCCCCAGTTGTCACCTGGCAGTCTCCTTCCTGGAGGTCCACCCGCTTGAGCCCCATTGCTCCATCACCCTCCACAGGGAGAGGCTTGATCTCCTCTTTCTGCTTTGTTCTCCTTCCAGGAAGGAAGTGGCTCCAGATGCCGTGGGTGGGACATTCCTTGGCTCTGCTTGCTGTTCCCAGATTTCTCATGATTCCCAGTGACAGAGCTGGCATCTCTAATCAGCCTCAGAGAGGGGCAGAGTCTTGCTCAAGAACACCCTGCACTCAGGAAGCCAGAGGCTCTTTTGAGCTGTCTCAGCCCTCTGAGTGCAAGACCCACCTCCAGAGAGATGCTCTGGCAAGGTGATTCCCTCCCAGGCCTGCTGGGCACCTACTGTGTATCCCGCACTGTGACGGGCAGCAGGAGACAAGATGGCTTCTACACTCAGGAGCTTACCATAGACTGGGGGAATGAGATATTACTCAGAGAACTATAAACCCTGGGAAGTACCACCAAAGAGGCACAGACCTATGGGGAACCAAAGAAAGGAGGATTCACGTTAAAATATTACTGGGGGCCGGGACTGGTGGCTCACACCTGTAATCCCAGCATTTTGGGAGGCTGAGGCGGGTGGATCACCTAAGGCCAGGAGTTTGAGACCAGCCTGGCTAACATGGCAAAACCCCATTTCTACTAAAAGTACAAAAATTAGCCGGGCATGGTGGTAGGCACCTGTAACCCCAGCTACTCAGGAGGCTGAGGCAGGAGAATTGCTTGAACGGGAGGCAGAGGTTGCAGTGAGCCGTGGAGGTTGCTGTGAGCTGAGACTGTGTCACTGCACTCCAGCCTGGGCGACAAGAGTGACACTCCATCTCAAAAAAAAAAAAAAAAAAATTACTGGGAGGAAGTGACATTTTGTGATGGTTATGAAGAAGGCATAAGATTCTGACAGGTGAAGATGGCTGGGAAGTTATTTCAGGGAGAAGGGAGAGCCCATGCAAAGGTGGTAGAAGGAAGCCGGGGTCAGGAGTTCGAGACCAGCCTGACCAACATGATAAAACCCTGTCTCTACTAAATACAAAAAATTAGCTAGGCATGGTGGCACATGCCTGTAATTCCAGCTACTTGGGAGGCTGAGGTAGAAGAATCGGGAGGCGGAGGTGGCAGTGAGCCGAGATTGCACCACTGCAGTCTAGCCTGGGCAATAAGAATGAAACTCCATCTCAAAAAACAAAACAAAAAAAAAATCAAGTCAGGTTCACCTTTAAAGGGCCATGGTCCTGGAGGAAGTATCAGGCCAGAGTGGAGGGAGAGCCAGAAGCCTGGGCTTGCCTCTCAGCTTCTGACTGTGGGTCCTGGGCACATTGGTAAACCTCTCTGGGCCTTGGTTTCCTCAGTGTGACATGGAATAGCAGCACCCACTGCTCATGGCAAGTGGAATAGCTGCCCTGGCTTATTTACAGTTGTGTTTAACAAATAGTTTTTCACTTGCAGTGGGTGGGGGCAGGGGAGAGGCAGTGAATCGGTGCCACTGATGGTTTAGCCTGGAGTAGGGCAGTGGTTGCCTGTCCCTTTTCATCTTGTGCCTGAAATGTTTGGGGGAAGAAGGTCAGTGGTGGTTGAAAGGATTAGCCCCTTCTCAGGCCTAGCTGGCTTCGTCACCTGCCCTCCTGTTCACCTGGAGGGACGGTTGTGGGACTGAGGTCTGTGTCATTCTGGTCACTGTCATGTCATAAGCTGCTCCGATCAGGCTGGCAGGAGCTCTGCAGCACCAGAGGCTGTGGGCTTCTGGGAGTGGAATGTGAATGCCTGGGAGGCTGGCGGCCTTGGGCTTCATGCCCACACTGGCACAGCCACTTGGTCCAGAAGAGGGGCAGGAATCCAGGTCACCAGCCAGTGCAACACAGGCTGGCTTGCTGTCTCCCTTTCCTTTGGTTAATCTTCCCTATGAGGAGAGAGAGAGAGAGGAAGAGTCTACAGGATAGAGCTCATTTTGCCAGTTTTTTCCCCCAAAGTCCATTGGGAGGGACGTGTCTGAGCTGCCCACTTCCTTCAGCCAGCCTTGGAATGAGAGCACATGACTCATAGCCTCACTTCTCTAGACCTGGAAGGTAGTGGGAGAATCAGACAGATCTTGGTTCTAATCCTGGCTCTGCCACTTATTAACTGGGTAATCTTGTGCACGTTATTAACCTCTTCCAGCCTCAGTTTCCTTGACTGTAAAATGGGAATAACAGCACCAACTCATGGTGTTGTGAGAACTGGATGAGCTAATGGTTAGAATTAGCATAGTGACTAACACATTTTGGGAGCCCTCAAATATTAGTTTTCTTCCTTCCTTCCTTCCTACCTTCCTTCCCTCCTTCCCTCCCTCCCTCCCTCCCTCCCTCCCTCCCTCCCTCCCTTCCTTCCTTCCTTCCTTCCTTCCTTCCTTCCTTCCTTCCTTCCTTTCACTTATTCACTTCATTTATTCCCTTCTTCATTTATTATAGAATATAAATGCTGGCATAGGGGGCTGAGTGCTGAGTTGTAAGAAATATGCGAGTGATGAGGAACATTTCATTTCCTGAGCCTCAGTCCGCGGCGCAAAACTAAACAACAGAAGCAACTTACGTAATCTCCGCAGCACTTTTCTTAAATTAATCGACATGAAATTATCTGGCCTTCTTTTTTATAAATTAAGGAAATTTAAAGATCTAGCACTAAGTTATGTGAGAACCTCTTTATCTGTACGAGTAGGGGCATTCATTGCTTCTCTATATCTAAGGAGAATCTGCTCTATTTACCCTTGCCTTAGGGCCCAAGTGAGGCTGAGACAAGCAAGTGTGGCTAGGTAGAACCTTCCTTCCTTCCTTCCTTCCTTCCTTCCTTCCTTCCTTCCTTCCTTCCTGGGAATATAATTACTGCCTTGAGGGCAGAGATCTGAGTTGAGAGAGCTGCAGGTAGATAGAGGTGGCCTCCTTCCTCACAGAACCCCTCAGAATCACAGGCCAGAAGACTGGAGAACAACAGGAAATAGGCGATCTCCAAGCTTTGCACGCTGGCGGTACCAAATAGACGATGAGATTTATCTGAGGCACCACTATGGTTAAAAGGAATTTAGGGATCTGAGCCGCAGGTGCAGAACACTAGCATACGGATGGGAGCGATTCCAGCACTCACCATCTCTGGGGAGAATCTGCTCTGGTACCCCTTGCCTTAGGGCCCAAGTGAGGCTGAGACAAGCAAGTGTGGCTAGGTAGAGCAGCATGGGAGAGGGGTGGAAATAGCTGGACTGGGCTTTTCCCCTCTGGAGGACCAGTATCTCCTATCAAAACTTAACAGTATGGATGTCCCAGCCACTCTCTGCCAGCCAATGGACAGTCAGCAGCTAATTCACACTAAAATGTTAACAGCAATAAAGGAATCAATGATATTCACACCCTAGGGGTGCTGAGAGCTGTTAATGGCGGTCAGGTTCTACACGTGGCCTTTCTAGCAGCACAACTCTCCTCTCTGAAGTGCCTGCAGCTTGGCTGGAGAGCTGACTGCTGCACAGTGCAGAGGCCCACGTTCTGGCTCTAGTGTGTGGCTGGGAATCCCACCCAGGGAACACAAGCCACGGTACAGGAGGCAGGCCGAACTGGAGTACAGGGTCCCCTTGGTGACCACCGTCAGCTCCGAGAGCACGAGTGAGCCAATTGGCCTTATAAGCTTAGGTCAGATAAGACAAGACCAAGCATGTGGCCTGCTGCCTACTACCGCCCCTTGCTTCGAGAAAGGCAAGGTCTGGAAGGCGGAGGAGAGGTGGCATCTGGGGCAGAGTAGGGCATGGAGGTCCTCTGTGCCCAGAGGAGCAAAGCTGTTGCCCCCTGCTCTTCTTCAACGTGGGCAGCTAGAACCTAAGCTTAGCACCACATCAACCTCATCTGACACGTGGCTGGAGGAACAAGGCAGTGGTCGCCGTGGCGGGTTGGCCGCAGCCTCTCGTGGGCACAGCAGACCAGCTCTTTGGGCGTAATGTAGCTCTTAGGAGGCCTAGGCCCGGGCTGAACCCAGCGTGGGGGAGTAGGGAGTCTCAAACTTATTGGGCTAAAAATCAGCTGAGGGCATTGTTAAGATGCAGGTTCAGATTCCTTGGGTCTGGGGCCTGAGGCTCTCGTTTTTCACAAGCTCCTGGGTGGTGCTGAGGCTGTGGGTTCAGGTCACACTCTGAGCAGTGAGTGTGGATGCCTGCCTTAGTGACAGGCTCAGCAAAACACTTTCCTGGCTGTGACCTCGGTGTCCCTTCCGGCTCTGACACTTTGTGCATCTCCAAGACCGCAAGTTGAGGGGGTGGCTGGGGCGCGGAGCTCCTCCACTCAGTTGCCCCACTGGCGGAGGAAGGTGGCTGCCCTTTGATGGTGATGAAAAATAAGAACAGTTGCCAACCATTGAGAACTTACTTTGAGGACACCTCATCACTTGTATGTGGCAGAACATGGCCCTGAGATGTTTCTGACGCTCAGGGGACCCTGAGTTAGGAGAAAGTTTAGGGAGAGGAAGCACTGGTTTATTTGGGAATTATTCCCATCCCAGATCTTTCTGGCTCTTTTAAGGGTCAAGGGTCTTATCAATCCCTTTCTCGGTGCCCAGCACAATGCCAAGAGTTCAGGGGGAAAGCAGACGCCCCACAGAGACCTAGACCTGCTGGAGGCACTGTCCCTGGGCAGGGGAGGCAGGTCAAACCGGTGGTGCTCACCCAGGGAGGCTCTGGGAACTCAGGCCTCTGATCAACCGCAGATAAACACTGAACTTTCTACCTGAGGAAGCTCCCGGGCAGGGCTGGGTTCCTGTCAAGGAGACAGAGAAAGTTTCCATTGAGCGGGTGTGTGTGCATGCGTGCGTGTGTGTGTGAGTGCATGTGTGCAAGTGTATGCGTGTGAGTGCATGAGTCTGTGCATGCATGTGTGCGTGCATGTGTGTGTGTGTGTGCATGTGTGTGTGTGTGTCTGTGTGCGTTTCTGTGTGTGCGCGTGCGCGCATGTGCCAAGGTGCTGTATTATCTTTTCCTCCCTGCAGAAAATCAGGTCAGTGGTTTGACTGTTGTTAACCGCAAGGTGGAGTGGGGAGGTGGCCTGAGCTGCTGAGGCTGGGCTAGAGTATGAGGGCTGGGGTCTGGGGCCACCAGGCTACGGGGCCCCCAGGAAGCAGTGGCAATGCCTGCCAATCTGGGGAGAGGGTGCTGCCT